TCATATTGTGCCCATCAACTTATTTCACCATAATTGTCCGCTTCTGTCATCTTAGTTGATCTGCACTTATCTTACTTTCATACAACAATCTAATATTGATAACACATTAAATCCAAATTAAGTTAAGTCTATTCTTCTTCTTTTCAAAGATATTTTTTTATTCTTTATTGATATGTATATATTATATGGATTTAATATAATTTAGAAATGTATATATTTAAGAATTAAGATAACCTATCATTATTAACCAATACTACTACTGTTTAACGGGGGGGGTTAGGGTGCAGCCCCGATACTCCGACATCAAATTAGTCCTAAACCCTAATAGTCCGACACTAGTTCGACACCCCATTAGTCCGACATCGGAATAAAAGGATTTATTTTTATAAGCCAAATAAAAGGTTAGTTCGATATTAAGAGGAGGACCTTATCCATTGTGTGATCATGTGATGCAAGTTATCAAGATAGGTACATGGTGCTGAAGTAGCAAATGTCGTCATCTGCGTAAGTATAAGCACATCATTCTTTGTAAAGTGTTGTCGAATTACGTAGACATCTCTGGATACACTGTCTCTCAGATACAGGTTGAAGGTGACGCAGTAAGAAAATAAAGGAATCAATGGAGTTTTGTGGATTTACTATTAGATGTGTACATATTGCTTGAGTGAATAAGATAGACATGTTTTTTTCTGGTATAACTCAAGCGACAAAAAGTAATAATATTTAACCCGATTAGAACTTCTGATTTTACAGATTTGTTTTCTAAAATGTAACAGTAATGTAATTATTTGAAGAAGAACACCATGCAGTCTAGTTCGTCTATATGGGCACCAATATCAAAAAAAGAATGAAATAGAGGCAGAACAATTGTCTCGAAGTATTCTACGTAATTTCGCTCTTTATCTAAACAGTGAGTAAACTTGTTCAATGATTATAAGTAATACTTTTCAGTGTTTGACTCGTTGGTCATAAGGAGTCTATTGACTTTATGAGTTTACAAAATATGTTCTGGTAAATAAAGAAATACATGTAGGGGAAAAAATAACAGTACGATATGTATATTATATAATAAATAATTTCATAATTTTCCTCAACATGACAAACGATGAGATCAAAAGGTAGTTGGAGTTTTGTATTAAGTCAGTATGGTTCTTTGCTCTGAAAACAATTCAGATCCTTACAGGCTAACCACTATTTATTTCTTTTGTAGCTGTTTTTATCACAGAAACATGCCAATGTCAGCTGGAGCAGAGAAGTTAAACAAAAAACTACTGCTGATTGATTGTTGTATGATTTACGTCCGGTGGCAAATATTTCAAAAATGTTAAGGATTAGAATTAATTAACAATAAATACAATTATCGGTAAGTCCTGAAATAGGGATCGACCGGAATGAAGGAATTTGGAATGCCGCTTGAAAATGAAGGTACATTGGATAAGGAAAGAAATTAAGCCTTACACCAGGTCGCACACAGAACCTGAAGGAGCTCTTGTAATGGTTCTTTCAAAAATTGCAAAGATTTTGGCACTCTGGTTACACGAGGCATCGGATTGTACGTCCCCATTCTGACCGGACGCGGCTGCAAATTCAAACATCCAGCACATCCAAACGGACCGCCAAATATGAAAAGGGTTATACTGTCGGTAGGAAGAAGACCAAGTGATGACCATATTTTAAACTCAGTCATGTTTGGCAATGTTTGGGGTCAGAGAGAACAAACAAGAAAATCGAATGATATCAAGCAATGGTTAATATTACTTTGGAATTAAGACATCTAGTTAAATTCAGATGAACGTTATTTGTACATGACATATCATGCCCAGACAAAATTACTTGCCAAAATCAATAATGATTTTATAAAATCGCCCGGTCAGACTTACTTGGCAAAACAATTGATGATTTTACACAATTTTTATTGAAGGCTATGCATTAGTAATTATACATATAATCACAAGCCAAACATTTCTTATGGTTATACACCTGCATGCCAAAAACTAAGTCTTCATCAAAATATAAAAAGAATCTGAAACATACAAAAAAGAAGAGAAAGAATTTAGTGTAAAACAATATCGTTCTTGCCTGAATATGAGACATACACGACTCTGTTTTGGGTTTATTTGGCTACCTTGTCCTATTTATGGTCCAGATTATTTCCGTAAACTACCGTATCAATGGGGTCTTGCTCGTCTTGCATAGTACAGCAGGACGTCAGGTCGATATTCGGTAGATTTAAAAAACATACTTTGATATTTACTACTTTTATGTAAAGCAAGTGCAAAGACTGGTTCATAATATGCCCGTTATTTCTAGCACGTTAAAAATGCATAAAAAGTATTGTGTATGATCATTTCTATACGCATTCAAACGTTAATTGTATTCCTGTGTCATTGTCCTAGTGTGTTGTAACAGAATTATTTTCACACATTGCTTATGCTGTGCATGACCGATAAACGATTATTTGTTTAGGTGGAAAGAACAAAACACCAATAAAGTATTATTTTGATTTTAAGAGTTTGATCTTGAATGAATATGTAAATCACTGTTTTCGGAGTACACTACCAGCCATTCTTACATAATTGATATTTTTTGTTTGCTTAACGTCCAGTTACAAATTTATAGTATATATTCACTATTTTAGCTGAGTTTAACAACCTTAAAGAAGTGTTCAATAAAGAACAAAATATTATCGATTGTACAATTTTACTATGGATATGTTGACTTTCATTTATTTTCTCGATCTTTAAAAGATAAATGGAAACCAACATGCTTGGATAAAATAAAAGTTTCTTTTCATTGCAAATCAGGTTTGACCGTTTTGGGGAATGTATTGTGGTCTGGACATTTTCCTTTTGGACGAGAGACTGCTCTTCAAATTCTATTCAGTCCAAGGGTGACTGGGATAGTGATATAGAAATATGCTCACTCTTGGTGTTATTTTCGGCCGGCAGTAAAAACCCTTGCAAATGTGGAGCGTCCGTTTGGCTTAGCAGGATGTATAAAAAAAGAAAGAAGCTGCGTCCGGTCAGAACTCTGTCAGGAATAAAATTGAGAATGGAAATGGGGAATGTGTCAAAGAGACAACAACCCGACCATAGAGCAGACAACAGCCGAAGGCCACCAATGGGTCTTCAATGCAGCGAGAAACTCCCGCACCCGGAGGCGTCCTTCAGCTGGCCCCTAAACAAATATGTATACTAGTTCAGTGATAATGGACGTCATACTAAACTCCAAATTATACACAAGAAACTAAAATTAAAAATGATACAAGACTAACAAAGGCCAGAGGCTCCTGACTTGGGACAGGCGCAAAAATGAAGACAATATTACCTCATTATCCAATGGCAGCACAAATTTGCCGCCCTTTAATACGGGCAATATCCTATTTCAGGACCTACTCATTGTATTAATTATTAATTTATTTCTCGTCCTGCACATGCATGAAACATTTGCCACTGGACATAAAGCAAACAGCGATCAATCAATCAATCAAATTCACTCATTAGAGGATTCTGTTTTTATGAAAAAGCTAGGTCACACTTTATAGTTGTAAAGCAAAATTTTGCAAGGTTGTAGATTGCCTTATTATGATTGTATTTCTTACATACCAGACGTGAGGTGCTGTTTTTTCCAATTAATTCTTTATACTAAGACGGGAGGGTAGACACAAGTACAAATACCACGTCTTCCAATTCTATGAACTAGATTTTCAAATACGACCTGCATATGTGTCGGACTATTGGGGTGTCGAAGTAATGGGATGTCGGACAAAGGGGGTGTCGGACCAACGGGGTGTTGGAATAGCGGGACAAACCCTGTTAAACGAGTCCTGGATAAGGTACCGGTATTTTTTGTATCCTACTAACAAATGTCAGAATTATTGATAATGTATGATAAAATTAAAATAAAAAAACACATAAAATAAACACATAAAAAATCACTGAAATAATGATGAAGCTCAAACAAATGAAACTCTGAGCCACTGCTCACTGATGATACCCCGCCCAAATACTTGACGGTTCACAGGAGGTTGTTGAGTGATGAATCTGAAAACGCACCACACGATATAGCAGACTTATATAAACCTTGAAACCAAATTTCAGAAATCCATGTAGTGTAGTTCCTGAGAAAGATGCGACGAAAAATATTCATGGGACGGACGGACGAACTTACGGGCGGATGGATGGAAGGATGGAGGGATGGCCGGACGGACAGACAGAGGTAAAACAGTATACCCCACTTTTTTAAAGCGGGGGTATAATTATGTCCCTTTGACATTTTTTAAACGAAAATTAAGTTTCTTCAAGAATATATGCAGTCTAACTCTTTTCAGGCATAATAAAGAAACATTTATTATTAATTATTTCAGGATAAAAAGAAAATTGTCAACATGATTTTTTTAGTGGTTTTTTTTTGCGGTAAATATTGCATAGAATTATATTCGGAAGTACTTCCTAATTATGTCTGCACTTAAAAACAGCAAGCAAGAAATAGAAATGTCATTGAAAAAATAATCAAGGGATATTATGTTTTACAATCCGATTGTGATTATTAGCTACAATTGAGAATTTTGCCGTAGTTGAAAAAGAATAACGAAAACTTTTAAATGTTATAACAAGTAAATTTCGTTGTATTGAAATCACTATAACTCCGATTGTTTTGATCGAAAACTAAAATATATGTTTTCCGTTCATATAAATCTTAAGAATTGGACATTTTCATTCCAACACATGTGTGTTTTTGATGAGATTAAAGATGAACAAAATAACATTCAGTGAAAACAAAAAGTATTATGTTTTTTTTTTATCAATTTCAAACTGCACATGTTCGCTTTTGACATATATTATGTGTACTTGCATTGGTAAACAAATTCATCACACATAGTATTTTCAACAAAATGTAAACAGACGATTGAAAAAGACAGTATAAATAGTATGTACATTCTAACCATCCGGTATTGGCGGAGTAGATTCAATGTAATGAGTTCGAGAAGTTAATTTTCTCTTACAACATTTGCAACAGAGATTTTGTCGCATTACATATTACATAAGACTGTCTACCATTTTAGCAACATGAATTTTTCCGTAGTTCTCATTTTTTCCTTTACCACATCCAATTAATAAATATCCTTCATTGTCAAAGCATAAACTACATGGATCATTGATGCCCAAGTCTTTGAAAATGGACTGCAATCCAAGTAAATCTCCTTTCGAATTTATAACATGTAGTGCATCGTTATCGTAATCTGCAACTACAATGTTATCATTTGGCGTAATAGTAATTCCTTGTGGTTGAAATGTTTCTGAATACGTTTGTCCATCATAGGTAAACTTCAATCGGCCATTTCTATCTACAGCTACTATTCTGCCGTTGCCGTCATTGTCAAAACGATCACTCACATAGACAACATTTTTAGAATCAGTGCGAATGCGTAATGCATATCTGAACAATTTATTCCCTTTTTTGTCAAATTCTAATGTTATTTTCCGTTGATAATCACTGCCGAAAATTATAACTTGTCTGACCGAAAAATCTTGGACCGGAAACGGTGGTCCTTGTTCTCTGATTCCAACTATTACTTCATTATCTTTGTTGACATGTATGGCCAACGGTTTCATTGGAGAAATATCTAAAACAGTATTGACTTCACCCGCAGGTGATAAAAGTTGAATTTTGTTGGTATCATATTCAATGAAAAGTATTTCGCCGTCTTTATTTGTTGCAAAGTCAAATATACTTTTCTTTAACGTCTGCAATATCTTTATTGATGATTTTAATAATTTTCCGCTCATAACTTGATGTTTGGCACACGTATTACCGCAATAGTTGAAGATTAGTAAATCGTCATTCGTGCAAAGTAAAGTATTAACAGCAGGCAAAGTGGTTGTGTATGAATTGAACACTGATGAAATGACTATTGATGTTACCTCCTGGGAACCTGGTGATGACCTGGTGCTGATATCCTGAATAGAAATAACGTCATGATCTTGTGTAGACGGAAGTCCTTGGTGGACGGTAACTTTACAGGAGTTACACATGCGAACATTGCATTCTTCACATCTCCATTTTATTTCTTGTCCTTTGCAGAAATAGCATGAAACTGGCACTTGGGCTTTTCTAATACTTGATGATTTCATTGATGTCGCCATTACTGCAAGTGAAAAAACAAAGTGGTCACGTGTATTACTTCCTTGTACGTTGTTTCTCAGTAAACAGTGTCAAAGATTATAACTTGACTAACTACTTTTCAAGGCGTAAAAATCTAGAAATTTTATAGATATACATAAGTCTAAAGATTTTTGCAAAGATAGTGATAAAAGATATATACGAAAAAGATAAAACAGTATCATTAAATTTTGTATATTGTTTATTGATGCCACAGTATCTGAAATGATTATAGGTACTATACTTAAAATTAAAACTGGTTTTACAACTTATATAAGTTACATGAAAACTAGATATTTTCAATCAATGCCAAGACACGTCTGTGAATACCGGTCTTTCTATAGGAAGAGAGACCCCCCCTTCCGGTGTCATCAAGCTATTAAATTTAAAAGCGATTCAAAAGCAGCCCCAGAATATGAAAATGTATAGAAAGTACTTTTGAAAATTTTAAAAGTCCTTTTTTTTAATCGTAAACAAACATATTCCAATGATAAAGGAAATCAGCACCACCCCACCCATTTCAAGAACAAAACCTTACGTAAAGAAATCTTCAAGAAGAGAAAGTTACATAATGTGTTTAATAAAATTTAAATCTAAAACAATCTGGGACAAATACAGCTTTAATTTTTTTTTTTAATTTATTGTGGGACCAAAATCCGATGATTTTTTGCTAACTATGATATATAAAAATATGAAGATGTGGTATGAATGCCAATTAAACAACTCTCCACTAGAAACCAAATGACATAGAAGTTTTTAAAACAACTATAAGTCATCGTACATCCTTCAACAATGAACAAAACTCATACCGCATAATCAGCTATAAAAGGCCCCGAAATGACAAATGTAAAACAATTCAAACGAGAAAACTAACAGCCTGATTTATGTACAAAACAATGAACGAAAAACAAATATGATAAACAACAACAAACGATAACCACTGAATTACAGGCTCCTAACTTGGGACAGGCACATACAGAATGTGGCGGGGTTAAACATGTTTACGGGTATCTGACCATATTTGTCGAATAAAGATACAAAATCTAACATTCTAATGCAATTCGTTTGGAACGATAATTTTCATTGGACGTTGACAAAGATTTTGAAGGGTTAGATTCCACGTTCTACCAGTCCGTAACTAAGGAAAGCCACCATTTTGAATTCCGAATTTTGTTGGTATGTTATTTCTCAAAAAAATAAACAAAAAAGTCACATTTTTCTGTGTCAAAATCTTCTTTTTGTCAATATTTAAATAATTCATAAACGTACGAAAAGTATAAATACGTCTATGGGGTTTATATATAAATGTTTGACATCGGGAGTACACCTATGATGTCACATTGTTCAGATGCCAAAGATGATGTAACAGTTTCGCGGACTTTTTTCATTTGTGGCATTTTCAAGCCAAAACATTTACTTTAATGAAATTTATTTTAATATGTGGCATAAGAATGGAGATCACTGTATTGTATTTTAAGCTTAGCCTTCGTAAAACTTGACTACGCGTCGCGAGGTAAACTCAATTTGCGACAGTAAAATCTATGTTTTACGAAAGGCCAAGTTTAAAATGCAATACAGCTATCTCCTAAATTTAACACTAATAATATAAAACTGTGTGAAGATAGACAGGTAGTAAATGATCAACCCAAGGTACCAGAAATATTAATAATTCTTTATACTTCGAATCTTGACCTACATATAGAAATTGACGATATGAGAGTTTACCACAAAGAGATGATTTCAGCTTCCCAATTTTTAACATCCCATTTCTATGTAGCAACATTCCAGCAGCGCCTGCATATGTAGTATATATCTTCCAGTTGGTACGATATTCCAGGGCTTGCATTTCCTATCATGATTTCCTTGATAGAGGGTTGATGTTCACAAGGAAGCTATTAAACCAAGAAATTAGTGAAGTTCAATCATCCCTGCGAAAATTTTACGGACATCATCACCAGTTGGTTGACCGTTATGGAATACTGTAGTTACCACAACCCTATTCTCTTTTTCCTGAATGTGACCTACCGAATTAGACATATGCACTGGGTTTGTATTTACAAATGTACATGAGCAACACGACGGGTGCCACATGTGGAGCAGGATCATGCTTACGCTTCCGGGGCACCTGAGAGCATCCCAGATTTTTGGTTGAGTTCGTGTTGCTCAGTCTTTCATTTAAAATGTTGTGTTTTGTTTACTATTGTTTATCTTTTGGTCTTTTTCTTTTTTTTTTTTGCCATGGCGTTGTCAGTTTATTTTCGACTTACGAGTTTAAATGTTCCTTTGGTATCTTTCGCCTCTCTTTTATATATGTATAAAAAACGATTGGTAGTGATACAGTTGCAGTGGATGGACAACATCCGAGTTCAGGTATGATAAATAAATAAATCGGGAATGTGCCCATGGGACACAGATGATGCCCCCCGCTTGTATATAACGTTATAAAGGGTCAAGAACGGCTCAAGAACGGTACCCAAATTTGTACTTGATCTGAGTTTTGTGGTAATAAGCATTGTGTATAAGTTTCATAACATTTGGTTGAGACAACCTAAAGTTAGAGAATGGAAACCAATTTTGGGACGTACGTACGTACGGACGGACAGACAAGGGTAAAACTTAATGCCCCCTCCGCTAAAATTGCCTCCATTGGACCTTTGGCATTGCACAAGGTCATGTTTTTCTCTGATTGTTAATGACGTCTTTACACTAAATCCCTTGGATGTTGGATGTGTACTGATTGATATTTTAGTCTTAGATACATGATTTTTTTTCCATTAGTTTTTATTGGCTTTGAACTAGCTGTCAGTAACTGCGAATACTCTCAGATATGAACTTAGTGTCTTTTTGTGTTTTTGGGATGTATAAGTACCCGTCCACGTCCACTCTGTGTTTTTTTTTAGATGCATTTCTATTTGTATCCATCTGATGAGTTGCAGCCTTTTACAACTGATTTTTATAGTTTGTTCTTATGTTGTACTGTTACACCACTGTCCCAGGTTAGGGGAGGGGTGGGGGTGTTGAGCGCTCACAAACATGTTTAACCCCGCCACATTCTTTATGTGCCTGTCCCAAGTCAGGGGCCTGTAGTTCAGTGGTTGTCGTTGGTTCATGTAAGTCATATTTGTTTTTCGTAAATTGGGCCTTTTATAGCCGACCATACGGTATAGGTTTTTCTCATTGTTGAAGGCCATACGGTTGCCTATAATTGCTTATATCCACTTCATTTGAACTTTGGTGGATAGTTGTCTCATTGGAAATCATACCACAACTCCTTATTTTTATAAAGTAAAGGATATAAGCCGATAACAGTCCATTCTGTTCAATATTTGACAGAATGGACTGTTAGAGGCTTATATCTTACTTAAAACATTGTTTAACTTGTCAAAGAAGGTAAAAAAAGTAAACAAATACAAACTTTGTAAAGATTTATTTTTATCAAGTCTGTAAATTGTTCTGGATAAACATTATTAATATCATCCTACATGTTGGCCCCTTTAAACAGTAGCTCATCATAACAATAGAAAAAGATAAAGTATAGTTGAAAGTATACTAAATGTATAGCTACATGTACATAAAAACCTAGTACATATGTATCATGCTTTTTGCGTGCGCTAAAAATACATTATATATATTATCCGTGAATTCCTTCACATGCATTTGGTGTCTAAAAATGGATTAAGACGATGAAAGTATTCTTAATGCAAAATTCTTTACGACAAGAAGATAGGGATGTCGAATATAGTTATTTTGTTGTTTCAAACTTTGGATTAAATTCAAATCTGTGTTCAAATATTAACGATTGCTGTGCGGTAATCGAGGAGGATTTAGTTATAGCAGCTAATAATGGCAAGTTTTATATATATCTTAAAATGTGATAAGCCCTCTCCTATTACTTCCTTATTCCTTCTGGGTTTTATTTCTCATTAGGTTCACGTTGCAGAAAAAGATTCAACCATATCGAGTACACCGCAGTCGGTTTTATTTCAAATACAACACTATTAAATATACTGAATGAGCGCACATGAAGATATAACAAGCATGCAAGCAATTTTAAATTTTGTTTTTTTTGTTCTTTGGGATTCCCACCTTTTTTCAATGAATTATTAGAGAATTATGATCCAAATATTATATATTTTACTTGCAAAAATGAATTAATATAGTTATAATATCTAAATTCATTGCCATGAAATATCCGGCGATCAAGAAATCAATCAGACGTATTAACCTACTATACATGAAAAAAATATATTGATTCATTATTTTCCCGTATGACGAAGGCCCCCGCCCCTCTTTCTTCCTCGTTCACAGAAATTGACTTTAACTCGGCGGTTGTCTTGCAGATAAGATAAGATAAGATAATTTTATTGGTTCAAAATCCAAAATTATAGGATTGTTACCAAGACAATAAACATTGACTATACATAAACATACAAACATAATCTGACCACATTTATAAACATTATATATATAACTGTATATCCCCTCCATTATTTGCAAGAGACAGTTATTGTTTACCTAATCACATAATCACAAATTTTTTGCCAATATAATCACATAATCATTAATTATTTTTTGAAACAAGATAATCAAATAATCAAAAATACAGTCCTAGATTATCAAATAATCAAATAATCATGAAATATTTGGTCTGGTAATCAAATAATCACTATAAAAACGGCCTAGTAATCACATAATCAAAAACCCCACGAGAAGGCTCTAAACCGGACCACATGAATACCCCCGACCCCCCTTTCCTGTTTTTTCTGCAAGGTTCGTGTCGCTCA